CACACACACACACACACACACACACACACAAAGACATATTGGACCCTAAGGACTTTACGAGGGTTAAGGAATTTTACCACTGAACTGTAAAAAGTATCTTATCGAGGTACATTTAATAATTTTGTTTCTGTCAAAGACAACAAATGTTTTGCAGTCACAGAAACTGATCTTCTTTCCAGTATTTGTGAGTTCCAGACTTTCTTCTTCTCTATTTTATTAAACTAAAAGCTACAAACTGAAAACTGAAAAGGTCCCAGTTGGGTAGTGACCTACAGACTGGACTACTGGATGCTGCTGGGGGCAGTATGGCTCTCCATCTGTGGATGACAAGATCCATCCATCCATCCATTTTCATCCGCTTATCCGTTACCGGGTCACGGGGGCAGCAGTCGCCACCCAAATCACACTGCACCGTACCAACCCCCCTAAACCTTCCTGTGGGTGGTGAGTCCACTGGAAGGTACCAACCGCCCTAACCGGGATTCGAACTTGCCCAGGAGGTGAATCCTGGGGTTCCACACCAGTGACAGAGACATTGCGTGTGGGCCAAAGCGGCATTGGATGACAAGATGAATGATAAAAACAAACTGGACACTAGATTTCTCTTTCTTACCTTCTTTGCATCTTTATTTCCAGTATGTGTTGCCCTTGAACAAATAGCATAGCCAGTAATGCATCACAGTCTGAAATATCAAGCCCATCTGTCAGCAGTCATTATTTCATCTGAACATCTAGACAAGTCCTGAAGTGTGTGAATCCTTATTTTTCATCAACGTAAACACCAAAAAACACAGACATACGTTTGTCAGGCCTGAAAATACATCAGGGGCAGCAGCAGCAGTAACACGATGAGAATCGAGCAGCAAACAAGCTGCAGTGATGTTGGCCATCATGCAGCAGAGGCTCTAAAGAAGTCTGTGAGATGCTAACCAGCCTTTTAGCCACCTGTACCACAGTCAACCACTAAATGAGTGGATGGAAAGTGTATTTCTGAAAGTAGGTAATAAAACTATTTTTGTGTGTGAGGATTTTAATATCGACCTTTTAAATCCCAGTAAACACAATGCTACAAATTAATTTATCAATGCAATATACAGTATGAGTCTATTTCCAAAAATCACTAGACC